GTCATTTCTATAGTCAGTGTGGGCACCACCTGGCATATGTTCTGGATGAAGAGATGCTGATGAATGGAGAAATCCCTGAGCCATGATGCATCTGTGTAAACCAGGAAAGCGTCTGTGGGCCCAAAGGAAAGACCTGTGAGAACGTCCGCCAGTTCAAGGAGCTCAACTCTCAGGAGAGCACCAATATTAGCATGAAACACAAAGGACCCTGAATCAGGTAATACAGACTCCCCATATCATTCAGTGGCATTTTTAAAGAATAAAGGATATAGGTACCTGCATACGTTTTTCTATTTCTAACATTGACTATATTGTTATGATGTTGAAATGATGTAAGAGTCTGATATCTATTTGTGGTCAAATCGGACTTAATTTCTGGGTAATTTGACCTCCAGAAGATCTAAAAAACTCAAGTGTGAGGAGTTAGTTGTCCAATGCTTGATTTAGTGCTCCATAGATAAAATTCTACAAGAACCAAAAAATTAACTGTAATAGAGTTCAACTATGTGACTTCACTGAGTAATAGCAAATGTTTCTGTTCATGTATTTCATAACAATAATAGAATTTCTTTATCTCTTCTACAGTTATCATGCAAAATCAACTAAATTTTAATTTAGTGATATCTAGATGGAATTAAAAATAAGAAGAAGCAAAAAACGTAACTGCCTGGATAAATATGAATTATATCTGTGCCAGGCTCAACACTTGTTAAAAAGTATGGACATGGCACATAACCAACTGGATGAAATTTTGTTTTGGTGTGTGAGTCAAAACTTATACCATTTGAAAGAACCACATTTAAATAGATTGTGATTCTACATTACTTGACAAGTAAGTAGAAAAGACTTCTTATGTCAATGGGAAATCATTTGCATTTATTTTGGTGCACTTAAGAGCCATAACAAGACAAAATAAAGTTCTTATAAGGCTGCATTTTCCTTGATAGGATAAAGAAGCCAATGTAAAGATAAAACTACTATTCTCATTGGGAAAGATGAAGAAAAATAAAGCAATTACAACAGCAACTTTCACAGAGATAGTTTTACAGCCACATACTGTATAATTCACTCTTCAAAAATGAGTCATTCTGATTTCCTGTAGATTTTCAAATGTCCTAATGCATGGTCTTCGGGGCGTTAAATTGCTGATCAAACAGTTCAAAATATATTTTTGGAGATAGCTATTAATGAAATAGGGCAAATTCAACAGTTACCTCAGTACCTAGAATCCGCTCTGTATTATCACGTTTACACTATAAACACATGTATTTCGGAATATGATCATTCCATTTAGTTTTCAAAAGTCCATAGGTGCAGTTTTCCGTACTACATTTGTTTCTGACAAGTGAAAACCTGAGATCTCAAGAAGCAGTTTCCCAAAATGAAATAAAGCTTAACCAGCAATATCCCCTCTGTAATAACATCAACCCATTCTAATACAGTATTAGAATTGCAAATACAGATGCACAGTTTACAGAATGTTGCAGTACGGGATGTGCAGAACATCAAAACTCTTGAGAATTACAGTTTAGCAAAGAGAATATTTTTGCCTAAGATCCATGTGTTCAAAATAATATCTCCAATCAGCTCTAACCTATTATTGTGAATGTATTCTTTCGCAAATGAGAAACAATAGACGTTTTCTCCAGAGCAATGGAACCACAGCAACACTTGAAGTCCAGTGATCCTGACATCATTACCACATTTATCATTAATGAGTATTCATAAGACAAAGTTTTCCAGTGTCCACTTTCTTTTTTTAATTTTTAAAATTAGAGGATAGCTCTTCTAGGATCACTTTTAAGGGAATCAAAGCTAGTTTTCAGAAATCTTCCACATCATTTGTAATTATTGATTCACAACTTAGTGTAATTTCTGAGTTCCTAGGGTTGAGAAGATGAGTCTAAAAGGACTAATGACGTCAACAATTTGAGAATACAAAATCTCACCACTCTTGATTTGGTTACCTCCCTCCATACTCTAATTTCTACATGGATAATAGCACTATTTGAAGTTAAAGTATAAGAAAATGAATTTAGACAGTAGGATTCTTTCAGAATCTTGTGACAAGTCTTTAAAAATTCACTACATTTACAAAAACATAGTTAATCATTACTCTGTGAGTTGGTGTTAATACCTTCCTGGAATGATCTGAATTTACATGCTTTGCAAAACGACCAATTTGCCAACATATTTATGACTTTCCTACATTCATAAGAAACAAGTTACGGTTATTTTAATGTACTGATATATATACTTATCAACAACAAGCTAAAACCCTTTAAAATAGTTTCAAGGCTGCATTTTACTTAACTGTGAATCAGTGTTCTTGAGCTAAATAATACAAACCTAATGTGGTTTAACAGTCCATTGGGTACAATTTTCTCTGGGGTTTTGGCAGATAATATGATGGATTGAGTTTGAACTTTGATCACACTAGGGTTATGGAAAGTCTGTGAGACCTTTTGCGGACAAGACAGGTAGATTTATCATGAGTGATATTAGCACAGGCTATTGTGAGCATATTGCATAGTAATATACAGGAAAATTAAAGGGTTAGCTTTGCTGATTAACATATGGCATTAGCTAGAACAATGAAGTCATATCAGAGTTTCCCTAAGCCAAGCATAGAGTAATTGATATGTGGACAATTCAAGATTAAAACTAAACAGGTTTGATTCATTTAAGTCCAAGGAAAGGTTACTATTGTTAGCAATCAAAAAGTATTCCCAAAAAAGGAAAAACAAAAAAGAAAAGTTTTACCAAATATTGGGAGCTTTTAGCACAAGCTAGGACAAAAAAATTGGTGGTTTGAAGAGCTAAGCTAAATCATCTATTCTTTATGTGTTTCTCGATACAAAATATACTCCCTAATGTTGAGAAGCAACAATTTAACATCAGTCCACTTTTTGTTTTATTTCTTACCCCGTTTATTTTTGATTGGATGTTCACAACCTAATACTTCGAAGGGCCACATAGAGTAGTTTTGCCCTTGAAAGGGGGGATTTATGTGTTCTGGTTTTTATTTGGTGCCCTTGGCATTGACATTCCCACTTTCTCAGGACAGAAAAAGAAAAATTACTTTAATGTTGTATTGACTGATGGCCCATTCTGATTTCCTGAGATTACTGCTAATGAAAAAATGCTGAATATTAAGAAATAGAAGCTATGGAATATACAATTTGTAAAAGCCATCTGCCTTTATAGGACCATATCAGTCATTAAATAATTAAACAATGCCAGCTTGTATCAATGGCTAAATAGACTGCAACAAATAAATAGTTAAATAAATGGGCAAGAAAATTCATATAGCTAGATCAAAGATAGCTTGATTTTTTACCCTGTGCCATAAGAAAGTCAATTTCCAAGATGTTGTATCACTTAAGACAAAACTGAGCTATGTAACATTGAAACTGCATTATTTTTCAGAAAGAAATTTTAGTATATATAATTAAATATTAATTAAATATATGCATAAGCATATATTTTGAATTTTATTCTCTAAATGGAAAAAATGTCCTCTGAGGCAACTTGTAGAAGTTTAGGATATTTTTATGTGATTGTTAAAAAATAAAAACAACGCCAAAATGGAATTTGCTATATTCTTAGTTGTTGTATTTCATTTCTGAATAAAGGTCTGTTTTAGATTTAGCTCCATTATTGAAATAAAATTATAAAGCTAGTTATGGTGTAATGGGAAAAATATTTACTTTGTAGACAGACAAACCTTATTTAAATCCAGGTTCTGCCACTTAACAATATGACTGATCTTGGGCAAGGTGCTTAACTTCTTTGAAATCACCTGTAAAATAAGAAAATTACCTTGCCAGCTGGTAGTGTTAAATAAGAATTGCACAGAGCTTGGTACGTAACTGTTCAAAAGCATGTTTTCCTTTCTCCCATCCACATAGTGAAAATGAGATCCTATAATAATGATTACCTTTATCCCTTGTATTATAAAGAACAGCTTTTGTATTTTTTGATATCGTCCTTTTTCTGTTAACAGCTTTATTGAGATATAATTTACTACTGTACAATTCACCCTCTTAAAGTGTATAATGCAATGGCTTTTAGCATATTCACAGTGCTGTGCACCCATCACCACAATCAATTTTATTCACCACAATCAATTTTATATTTTCATCACCCCAAAAGAGAAATCCCACTCCCATTAGTCCTCACCCTCCAATCCTCCCATCCTGTCTAGCCCTTGACAATCACTAATCTACTTTCTGTCTCTTTAGTCTTTCCTATTCTGAACATTTCATGTAGGTGAAATCATACAATATGTGGTCCTTTGTGACTGACTGCTTTCCTTAATATGAAGTTTTCAAGTTTCATCCATGTTGTATCATGTGTAAATACATTCCTTTTTATTGCTGAATAATATGTGGTATATGTATATACCACATTTTATTTATCATTCTTCAGTTAATGGATATTTGGGTTGTTTCCACTTTTTGGTAATTGGGAATAATGCTACTATGAACATTTGTGTACAAGTTTTTGTGTAGACATGTTTTCATTTCTTTTGGGTATATGCCTATGGGTGGAGTTGCTGCATCATATGGGAACTCTTTGTTTAACAATTTGAGGAACTTCCAGACTGTTTTCCAAAGCATCTGCAACATTTTATATCCCTACCAGCAGAGTATTAGGGTTCCAGTTTCTCCATATCATTGCCGAAACTTGTTACTGTCTGTCTGTCTGTTTGTTTGTTTTTATTACAGCCATTCTAGTGTGTGTGAAATGGTATCTCATTGTGGTTTTGATTTGTCTTTCCCAGTGGCTCCTGATGCTGAGCATCTTTTTGTGTGCTTATTGGCCATTTGTATACCTTCTTTGGAGGAATGTCTACTCAGATCCTTCATGCATTTTTAATTGGGTTATTTGTCTTTTTATTATTGAATTGTAATAGTCCTTTATATAGTCTAGATACAAGCCCCTTATCAGATATGTGGTTCCTTTTTTCCCCATTATTTTCCTATTTTTCCCCTCCTCAACCTACCCCACCCAACTTAGACAACATGTACACAGGTTTCATTTTCACCAAGTATTTTAGAAATGCTAACAAAAATTTTTCCCATCCTAAATAGTCCATATTCAATTAAATGACAGGCATCTCTGAATAAGTTTATAATGCAAGGTTTCTTTGTCACTGGGATTCCCCTTTTCATGCTGCTTAAAGACCACACATACTTTTGTAGCAATCTTGACTAAAAGTCTACTAACTATGTGAGTAGTAAAAAAAAAGTCTTCAATTATTTGTGTCAATTGAACTTACACATGCACAAATTATTTTCAAAAATATTTCTTTAGAGACTAGAGCCATTTTTTGACACAAATTTCTCACTATATTGTTTTTTTCATGTAGCTCCTGTTATTTCTTTGCCTCCTCAAAATCCAGAGAACTTCATTTGAAATGATGTCACTTTTGGTTGCGAAGTTTCAGCCTATCCAATACCACATCTGGAATGGAAGAAAAAGGCAAACAAAATGTTCTTTCACAGTGATGATAGAGGCACATTTCAATGCAGGTATGTGAATTATGTCATGTGCACAATATACACAGGGAGTCAATATATTAGTTGATGACATTAATAAATTCTTTCTTCCAGATTGCATCTTATAATGCAAGTTTTAAATATTAAAATGTTTCCATTGTAATCATGTCTGGCAATATAATAATACCTTACATTTTCAAGATGTTAGAAGATTTACAAAATCATTTCATATATATGATCTCATCAACCTGACTTAGAGGTCTGCTTATGGTCATAGAGAAAAAGGATGAAAGGGGTAGTGCAGTGCTTCTCAAAGTTTGGCTCAAAGTCCACAAATCACAGGATCATCTTGACACCCTAGTGAAATGTCCAAAGTAGGACCCAACTGTAGCCAAAAAGGATCAGGAAAAACGGGGTGTGCCTCATGAATCTGCATTTTAAAATAATTGTTCCGGATGACCCCAATTCACTCTAAAGTTTGACAACCACTAGTATAGTTGAATAAATAAATAAATAGCATAATATGTTTCAGAATGAAAAAGATCATGAGCAAATTACTTCACCTCTTTGATCCTGTTGTCTCACCTTCTCAGGAATATCTGAGGATTGCTTAATAATGAATATATGTCAATCACCCAGCACATTGCCTTGCCCAGAGTAGGCACTCAATAAATAGTAGTTATCATCAGGCTTTTTTTAAACCACATCTCTGGGACATTCTTCTCAGAATAGGTGGAGAGGGCATGTAAGTGGAGGAAATAGTGTAAGCAAAGCAGCAAGGCCAATCATGCTATGCAAACCATTCACCATAACTGTGTAGAGGGCATGAGTGGGAGTAGCAATAAGTAAATTTGGAAAAGTGGAATTTAGCTAGATAAGAGGACTCTAAACTCAGAGCACAGAGTTGGGATTTTTCACAGTAAGCCATGAAGGGTTATTTATCTTTATTATAAGAATTTTCAAGCATCCTCAAAAGTAGAGAGGCTAGTATAATAAAGCTCTATATACACATCACCCAGATTCAATAATTACCAATATTTTTGCCACATTGACTCATCCATCCCTTCTTTATTTTGCTTTTTTCTTTGCCAAAATATCTTAAAGCAATCCCCAGCTTTCATGTTATTTCACCCTCCACACCTCAGTGTTCATCTATAGAATACATGACACTTTCTTTCATAATCAAAATGCCTGTATCATGCTTTAAAAGGTTAACAATATTTCCTTGGCATCACCTACCTACAAACCAGTCCACAATCACATTTCCCCAGTTGTCTAAAAATTGTCCTTTTACAGCTCTTTAGAATTTGGCTCCAAACACAGTCTACACATTATAGTGGGTTACTAGGTTTCTCAAGTGTCTTTAATCTAGAAAAGTGCCCTCTCCTATCTTTATTGTTTATGTCATTGGCTTATTGCAGAAACTAGGTGATTTCTTTATATAAAATATTCCACATTCTGGATTTGTCTGTGGGCATCCTTAGGGGTGGGGGTGGTCAATTAACTTGTTTTTCTGTTCCCGCATATATTCCTATAAGTGGATGTTTGCTTTGGAGACTTATTTAGATTCGGGTTCAGCGTTTTGGGCAAGAGCCCTTCGTGGGGGTGCTGTGGCCTTCCTATTGCATCACAGTAGAAGGCACGACAGGTCTGCCTGTCCCATTTTCAGTAATGCTAATATTGGTCAGTTGTTTCAGGAGGCGAAAGCCTGATCCAACCATGATAAACTTCCCTATGACCTTTCAACTAATAACTTTAATGAAGTGTTGATTATTGCCTGAATCAATTCTTTATTAGGGATTACAAAATAGTGATGTTCTAATTCTAGCATTCCTTTCATGTTTATGGACTAGAATTCTTCTGTAAAGAATTTTTCTTGGAAGAAATAGACAGCAATGCAATAATAATAGGGGACGTACATTCCCCACTTTCAACAATTGATAGATTATCCAGACAGAAAATCAATAAGGAAACAATGAAGTTAAACTACATGTTAGACCAGATGGACCTAACAGACATATACAGAACATTGCATCCAACAGCAGCAGATTACACATTCTTCTCAAGAACACATGGAACATTCTCCAGGATATATCATATGTTAGGCCACAAAACAATTCTTAATACATTTGAGAAGATTGAAATCATATCAAGCAACTTTTCTGACCACAATGCTATGAAACTAGATATCAATTTCAAGAAGAAAACTGGAAAATTCACAAATATGTGGAAATTAGATAACATTCCTGAACAGCCAATGGGTCAAAGAATAAGTCAATAAATAAATAAATATCTTGAGACAAATGAAAACAGAAATACAATATACCAAAACTTATGGGATGCAGCAAAAGCACTTCTGAGAGGGAAGTTTATAATGATAAATGCCTACATTAAGAAAATAAGAAAGATCTCAAATAAACCTAACCTGACATTTTAAGGAAATAGAAAAAGAGAAGCGAATGAAGCCCAAAGTTAGTAGAAGGAAGGAATAACAAAGACAAGAGCAGCAATAAATTAAGAGACTAAAAAGACTAAAGAAAATATCAATGAAACTAATAGTTGATTTTTTGAAAAGATAAAGAAAATGGAAAACTTTTAGCTAAACTAACAAGAAAAAAGAGAGAGAAGACTCAAATAAATAAAATCAGAAATGAAAGAGGAGACATTACAACTGATAGCATAGAAATACAAACTATCATAAGAAACTACTATGAAAACTATATGCCAACAAATTAGATAAACTAGAAGGAAAGGATAAATTCCTAGAAATAAACAACCTACCAAGACTGAATCATGCAGAAATCGAAAATCTGAACAGACCAATCACTAGTAAGGAGATGGAATTAGAAATCAAAAACATCCCAGAGAAGAAAAGTCCAAGACCAAATGACTCCACCAGTGAATTCCAACAAACATTTAAAGAAGACCTATTGCCAATCCTTCTCAAACTCTTCCAAAAAAAACAAGAGGAGGGAATACTTCCAAACTCATTTTATGAGGCTGGTACTATGCTAATACCAAAGCCAGACAAGGATTCTACAAGAAAAGAAAATTACAGGCCAATATCCCTGATGAATAGACATGCAAAAATCCTCAACAAACTATTAGCAAACTGAATTCAACAATATATTAAAAGGATCATATAGTATAATCAAGTGGGATTTATTCCAGGGTTGCAAGGATAATTCGATATATGCAAATCAATCAATATGATACACCACATTAACAAAATGAAGGATAAAAATCATATGATCACCTCAATAGACACAGGAAAAGCATTTGACAAAATTCAACATACTTTCATGATAAAAAATATCAACAGGGGGCTGGCCCCGTGGCGGAGTGGTTAAGTTCACGCGCTCCGCTGCAGGCGGCCCAGTGTTTTGTTGGTTTGAATCCTGGGCACGGACATGGCACTGCTCATCAAACCATGCTGAGGCAGTGTCCCACGTGCCACAACTAGAAGGACCCACAACGAAGAATATACAAGTGTGCACCGGGGGGCTTTGGGGAGAAAAAGGAAAACAATAAAATCTTTAAAAAAAAAAATCAACAAACCAGGTACAGAAGGAGTGTACCTCAACATAATAAAGCCCATGTATGACAAGCCTACAGCTAACATCATACTCAACAGTGAAAAGCTGAAAGCTTTTCCTCTAAGATAGGAACAAGACAAGGATGCCCACTTGAGTCTATGCTTATTCAACATAGTACTGGAAGTCTTAGCCAGAGCAATTAGACAAGAAAGGGAAATAAAAGGTATCTGAATTGGAAAGGAAGACGTAAAACTGTCTCTATGAGCAGATGAAATGATGTTATTTACAGAAAACCCTAAAGACTCTACCAAAAAACTATTAGAACTGACAAATGAACTCAATAGTTGCAGGATTCAAAATCAATATACAAAAATCAGTTGTATTTCTATACACTAATAACAAACCATCAGAATAAGTTAAGAAAGCAATCCCATTTACAATAGCATCAAATAGAATAAAATACTTGGGAATAAATTTAGCCAAAAAGGTGAAAGATCTGTACACTAAAAACTATTAAATATTGATGAAAGAAATTAGAGAAAACACAAATAAATGGGAAGATATTCCATGTTCATGGATTGGAAGAATTAATATTGCTAAAATGTCCATACTACCCAAAGCAATCCACAGAGTCAATGCATGCCTATCAAAATTCCAATGGCATTTCTCACAGAAATAGAAAAAACAATCTTAAGATGTGTGTGGAACCACAAAAGATCCCAAATGGCCAAAGTAATCTCGAGAAAGAAGAACAAAGCTGGAGGTATCACACTTCTTGATTTCAAACTATATTACAGAACTATAGTAATCAGGGGCCAGCCCTGTGGCTAAGTGGTTAAGTTTATATGCTCTGCTTTGGCAGCCCAGGGTTCACTGGTTTGGATCCTGAGTGCAGACTTACACACCACTCATTAAGCCATGCTGGGGCGGCATCCCATATAGAAGAATTAGAATGACTTGCAACTAGGATATACAACTATGTGCTGGGGCTTTGGGGAGAAAAAAAACAGCTATAATAATCAAAACAGTCTGATACTGGCATAAAAACAGACACATAAATCAATAGAACATAATACAGAATGCAGAAATAAACCCATACATTTATGCTCAGTTAATTTTCTACAAAGAAATCGAGAGTATACAAAGGGGAAAGGATACTCTCTTCAATAAATGATTTGGGGAAAACTAGACAGCCACATGCAAAAGAATGAAGCTGGATCACTATCTTACACCACACACAAAAATCAACTCAAAATGGATTAAAGACTTAAATTTAGGACCTGAAACTGTAAAACTCCTACAAGAAAATGTAGGAGGTAAATTCCTTGGTATTGGTCTTGGCAGTGATTTTTTGGATTTGACACCAAAAGCAGAAGTAAAGATGTAGGACTACGTCAAACTGAAAACTTCTGCACAGCAAAGGAAACAAAATGAAAAGGCAACCTATGAGTTGGGAGAAAATATTTACAAACCATATATCTGATAAGGGGTTAATATCCAAAATATATAAAGAACTCATACATACTCAATAGCAAAAAACCCCAAACAATCCAATTAAAAAATGAACAGAGGAATTGAATAGATATTTTTCCAAAGAAGACACACAGATGGCCAACAGGTACATGAAAAAGTGCTCAACATCACTAATCATCAGTCAAATGCAAACCAAAACCACAATAAGATCACCTCACACCTGTTAGAATGGCTGTTATCTAAAAGACAAGAGGGGCTGGCCCCATGGCCGAGTGGTTAAGTTTGCACGCTCTGCTTTGGCAGCGGCCAACGGTTTCACTGGTTTGGATCCTGGGCACGGACATGGTACCGCTCATCAAGCCACGCTGAGGCGGCATCCCACATAGCACAACCAGAGGCACTCACAACTAGAATATACAACAATGTACTGGGGGGCTTTGGGGAGAAGAAGCAGAAGAAGAAAAAAAGAAGATTGGCAACAGATGTTAGCTCAGGTTAGCTTAAAAAAAGAAAAAAAAAGACAAGAGATAAATGCTGGCGAGGATGTGGAGAAAATGGAACCCTTATACACTGTTGTGGGAATGTAAATTGGTGCAGCCACTATGGAAAACAGTATGGAGATTCCTCAAAAAATTGAAAATAGAACTACTATACAATCCAGCAATCCAACTTCTGGACATATATCCAAAGGAAATGAAAACAGGATATTGAAGAGAGATCTGCACTCCCATGTTCATATGTTCATTGCAGCATTATGCACAATAGCCAAGATATGGAAACAACTGAAGTGTCCATTTAGGGATGAATAGATAAAGAAGATGTGATATATCTAGTGGAGTATTATTCAACCAAAAGAAAGAAGGAAATCTTATCATTTTCAACAACATGGATGGCTTTTGAGGGCATTACACCAAGTGATACAAGAGAGACAGAGAAAGGCAAATACTGCATGTTATTGTTTATATAAAGAATCTTAAAAAAAAAAAAAAAGTCAAACTCACAGAAACAGAGTAGAAAAGTGGTTGCCAGGGGCTTGTAGGGTGGCGGTATAGGGACAGGTTGGTAAAAGGATACAAACTTTCAACTATAAGATGAATAAGGTCCTTAATAGATTCTAAAGCTGAAAAGGCAGAGTAAAACTTGACTACTTAAGAACACAAATTTCTTAGGTCTTAGGTTCTTTGTATATTAAATAAAAATAAGAAATATTATTATTTCTGGGGCATATTTTATTAGAATGCTTTGCGAGACCTAGTAATAAAATAAAGTAATCCAAGCATGGGTCTAGTTGAATTCTGGGGCTTGATAAGTAGCAGTACACATGGAGGGGCATGTGTACTGGGGAGAAAGGGTGCAACAGGGGTGTCTTAGCCTGCTCGGGCTGCTATAATAAAACGCCACAGACTGTGTGGCTTAAACAATAGAAATTGGTTTTCTCACAGTTCTGGAAACTGGAAAGTCCAAGATCGAGTTCTGGCACAGTTCAGTTTCTGGATTAGGGCTTTCCTCCTGGTTTGTAGATGGCCCTCTTCTCACTGTGTCTTCACCTGGCAGGGAGAGAGAGAGCGTTGGTGTCTCTCTTTTTTGTTTTTCTTTTAATGGCACATGCCCTATTGTATTAGGGCCCTACCCTTATGACCTCATTTAACCTTTATCACCTCCTCACAGGCCCTGTCTCCAAATACAGTTACATTGTGGGTTAGACTTCAACATACGAAGTTTGGGGGAGACACAAACAGTCCATAACAAGGGGTAAGGAGACAGTGGGGTATGGGTTGGTATAGAACTGAGAGGTCTACTGTCAGGCCAACAGTTATTAAATACATTGTATTTTTCACTTATGTAAACTCTAATTTCTTGCCTGTATAGGTTCTTCATTTCATATCAAATCCGTGTGGAATAGAATCACAAAGAATAATACAGACTATGGAGTCTCCATTGGAGGAGAGGAAGAATATGAATCCAGTGACTTTGAGAAAAGAAACAAATTTATACGAGAATATAGACATCACATAAAATACCACCTGTATTTACTTGTATAATTACAATAGCAGTTTTAGAAAGCTGAATGTCCTGTCAAAATTTTAATTATAATCACTCTTTCTAGACAAATTAGGATCTAGTTTTCTAGTAGTATTCCCCCAGCTTAAGAGCCTTCTTATTCAGATGATGACCAAATATCACTTCAATTGACAAGAATAATCAAATGATACCATAAGCATTTCCCTGTGCTCAACTTTGTGATAGGCATTATGGAGGAAGTAAAAGAAGCTGAATGTGTTATTTATGCACTAAAGAAGATTAAAATTTTAAATGAATTTAACCCTCTATTTCACAGAGAGATAGTATAACAATCTTTGAAAATTCTAAGAATCAATAAAATCATTTGCAACTGGAAACTTTTCGTAAAAAAAAACTCACCTACAGACAAGGATTAGCAAAAGATCAGGAGCCGGTTAACCAGTTTGAGAAATGGCTAAGGTTAATCCATCTACAACTGACACTGCAGAAGACATAGTTCTAACATGGCATACATCACCCAGTTTTTAAGAAGATTGTCCAAGTATGTTTTGGGGAGGGATGTAGAGCAGTGGAAAGACAAGGATGGAAAGCTGGAATAGGATAGCTCATTTAAGATATGCCTTGGCCTGGTCCACTTTCAAAACTCTGGTGTCTCCTGAAAATCGTCATCACCAGGCTGTTTGCAGGTGAGGTAGTCCAAGAGGGCCTGTGTATGAAACGTCCAGTGCTAGGAACATGCAAAGGGTTCATTTATAAAATGGCCAATGCTGGGCCCTTGCTGAAGGTGCCAGGCCCATATTGGCTCCTTTGTGAAGTGCCTCTGGCAGAGCCCATATGCAAATGATCTGGGCCTTTGGAAATGCCATATGTTCTTTTCTAGTTTCAAATATTCTGGTTCTGGTAAAACATCTAAAAATAGAAATCACTGGCCAGATGGATACTCCGATCACTTTGTAAGTGGGTCTCTCCAGAGAAGGTTTTTAGTATTACTATATGAAGTGGCCCTTGATATGTCGGCCCAAAGAGTAGTTCAGTGTTGTTTATAGCGCCATCGTCACGTGACTTCTGTTCTTAGGCAAGGTGACCAGTGCTTTACGGAGCCATAGTCTCCTATTAACACTCTAAACTTTGGTTGTAGATCCATTATTCACACAGATTCTCCAGGATTCCTGAGGCAATATTTTGACTTCTCAGATTACCATCCAAAGAGATCCTATTAGTGAATTAATGGCAAGTGTTACTGGAGTGTGCCTAGAATATATCTTCATTATTTTCCCATGTAAAATGGCAATCCAAGTCTGTTCCTAATGAGCCTAAGGACTCTGCTTTAGCCCTTCGAGGTAAAGACAGCCTTTCAGAGGTTATAGTTTCTCAAAATGAGTTCTGCCATTACAAGGAACCACTCCTAGGGGTCTTGGAATATTTTGCAGATTATTGTCTGTGTGGACAGAATAGGCAACTATTTAACTGACGTAGTTTCAAGGGTAATAAAAATTGCCATTGACTGAATTTCTTCAAATCTAAAAGACACATCGATTGTAAGAAGCACAATTATTTTATCTCCAAATATATCAGTGTGCATTTCCTACAAACCAGGGCATTCTGTTACATAACTGAAATAAAACCATGAAATCAGGAAATTAACATTGATACATTACAGCCTTCTAATCCTCAGATTTCATTCAAGTGTTGCCAAGTATCCCAAAAATATCCTTTTTTGCAAAACAATCTAGTTCAGAATGATGCATTGCATTTAATTATCACGTCTCTTTAATTTTCTTAGTCAGATACTGTTCCTCTTTACTTGACTTTCACCACCTTGGCACTTGTGAAGATTACAAGGCCAGTTATTTTGTAGAATGCATGTCTCTCAGTTTGAGTTTGTCTGATGTTTCCTCATGATTGATTCAGGATATGTATCTTTTGCAAGACTGTCTCAGAGATGGTGCTATGTTCTCCTTTATTGCATTCTGTCAAATGTCACACGATTCAGATTTGTCCCATTACTGTTATCTATATTAATTACTCACTTAAGGTGGTGGATGACAGACTTCCGTGCTAAAAAGATACTCTTTTTTGCTTTGTAATTAATTAGTATTTTGTGAGGAACTATTGTGAGACTGTGTATATTTCATTCTCCATAAAACTTTCAATTAATTTATTTAGTTACATTAGTATGGACAAATATTAGTATGTCATTAAAGTTTCTTATTTTATTCAATGTAATCTATTACTATCATTATTTATTTTGATGCCTAAATTTTCCTAGATTTGGCAAGTGGGAGCCCCTTCAAGCTGGCCCCTGTGTCCTTTTGACATGCCTCTTTCATTCTTTGAGGATTTCCTTACTTTCTGCCACCCTAGATATTGCAGACTTATCTTATACTTACACGCTCCAACTTGGAATCAGCCATTTCTCCAAGGAATCCTGGTTTCTGACAGTGAAAAACAGTACTTAGAACCCAAATTCTGGATATTAGGTGTGCTCATTGCTATTGAGGTGTTACTGATTTCAGACATTCTCAGTAGGGCATATATGTGGGTACACACACATATACCTAAATTTATTTCTGTACCTATCTCTATATATTGAAAACCATGAATTTTCACTCCTACTTCTAATTCTAGTCCAACACTCGAGAGTTCATTCTATTTTTCTCTCTTTAAATATTTGTGACTCCCTTCTCCCAAAGTGAGAAATCTGACTTCCGTTTTCTTAATATATTTATTTATTTCATCCATTCCCCAGTATGTAACCAGTTTCCCAGCTCCATTGCCAACTCCCCTCCCCTGCACAGACACCCTCTTCCCTTACCTGGGCTCTGACACCCCTTATCAGGGCACCATTCTGTCATTCCTCAGGGTGAACACCCTCCTCACCTTGCTCAGGCTCTGACTCCCCACACCTACCTAGCCCCTCCCCTCCCCTTGAATGGATGCCTTTCTCAGGGCTGTTCAGGTCCAAAATCCTGCACTGTGCCCCCTTCCCTGCCCTCAATGCACGGATACCCTCCTCACACCCATTGGGTCCCAAAACCCCACAACAGGTCAAAATTCTTCATGAACGCTCTCCTCCTCTGCTTAGTCTCTGTCTGACACCCCAAGAAAGACCACTCTCATGCACGGACACTCTCTTCACTCCATTCAGGTTCTGATACCCTTGTTAGCCAGCACTCCTACACAGAAGTCCGCTTTACTCTGCTTGGCTCACAGTAGCTCCCCCAACCCTCTCTTGCCACAGCCGGTATGGACCTTGCTCCACCCTACTAGATGGCTTTACGACTAGCCCAGAGTATGCATTAATAGCTCCCCTTTTCACTCTCAAAACTGTCCTGGCTGAACAATAAACTATATGGTCAACAATAAGCTATAAGTCAACCTGGGAAAGCTTTTTTAGAAGCAGTTTTTGTATAAACCCTGAGGGCAAGATTTTGTCTTTTCTATCTCTCCTAGTTATAGAGAATACTAATAGTTCACTCAAAATGGCTACTCTATGCTTTATTTACAATAGGGAGAAAGATCACACAAACCTAAATTTCTCTCAGTAGAGGACTGATAAATAAATCATTGTGTATACCTACAGTGAAATATCACGGCATTCGTAAAAAGTAATGAGGTAGATCTATAATACTGACATTGAAAGATGTCTAAAATACATTGTTAAGCAGAAAAAAGCAAGGTACAAAACAGTATTATAGCATGATCTCATTTGTACAAAATAGAAAAATTTTTGCCCACATATGTATGTGCAGAGACAGAGGCCTGGTGCTATATTATGACAGGTTATTTTTGAGGGGCTGCCATTCTTGGCAACTTTTAGTTTTGATTTTACACAATTCTGTACTATTAAATTTTATATAAAAATCATGGATTTCTTCTATAATCCGGAGACAATGATAGAAATACTCTTTAAAAACAAGTTGCTACAATTGAAAAGGACTTAATATTGGCATCAGTACTGATAGATCTCCCCCTAAGCTGCACAGTGTGACATAAGCTAATCTTGGGGATGGCATGAATGTGTGACTGCGTGTTGGGATAGGGGAGATGGCAGGGAGAAGAAGAAAGCAGAGAGAAGGTTGACGACTTGGTTTTCCTTGAGCTATTCTTCGGCTCTTCCATTTTTCCTTATAATAAGAGACTTGCCTGGTCAGCTGGGTACCCTCATGGTAAATTTAAGACATAACTCTTAGCAAAAGGAAAATGTTGACCCTTAAGGAAAGGACTTAGGTTCAAAGAAGTGGTATAGCTTTTGCCTGCTCAAAGTAATATTAGTATGTGAGTAGTTTTATATTTTTGTCCAAATTAATTTTACTCTAAAAATAATTAAACAGTATTACTCTCATTGGAAAGGCTTAAACGTATTTTATAGAAATCTTTTAGAAGAAGGCACTTGAAATGGGGACATGGCTATTTCTGGGAAATAGCTATGTACATTAAATGTGCTATGACTGCTGATAGTTCTTTTTTTCTGCCCTATTCCCCTAGAGTTTCCACATTTTATACTCCATTTCAGTTGAAGGCT